GTGTCATAAAAGCAAACAGTGGATGAGCAACACTTCTAAAATAACCTGGGAAAGTTTAGGGCTAACCATCAGATTCAGTGTTCTCAGTATTTCTCCAATGCTTAAAGGGGGACCTTGTCTTTCCTTTTGGCACTTTTCTTCTTAAAATCAAGTCCAATTTTCTTCATTTTATATGATAGAGCCTACAGTCTAACATTTGAATGATATCTGTTAATATTTTATTGTTCTTCTCCAGGTTTTTCATACCCATTCAGTCATCAAATATTTCCTGACCATAAGCTTTGTGCCTGGAACTGTGCTGGTTCCTATAACTATCATGAAAAAGCAAAATATACATGTTTCATTTAGTAATGGAGTTGAATAAATAGTGTGGGGGGAGGGGCAAAGATTAATCAGAATTGCACAATAATATAATTCAGAGTTGAGATCTGAAGGGTGATTAGGAATTCTACAAAAAATATTAGCTTGCTCTGACCAGTTTGGCTCAGTGGATAGAGCATCAGCCTGCGGACTCAAGGGTCCCAGGTTCGATTCCTGTCAAGGTCATGTGCCTGGGTTGCAGGCACATCCCCAGTAGGGGGTGTGCAGGAGGCAGCTGATCGATGTTTCTGACTCTCTATCCCTCTCCCTTCCTCTCTGTAAGAAATCAATAAAATATACTTTAAAAGATTAAGGCTACCAAGGTGACTAATAATATTCTGGGGGAGAAACTTTGATGCTATGCAAATGTCCTGCTTCTCTTTAAAGGTTGGCCTATTACCTTTTCCGTTAATCAGTAGAGTCTCTGTGAAGCGATTATTATAGTGGTGCTCTGATGTTAATTTTCTTTTAAAAATATTTTTTTATTGATTTTAGAGAGAGGGTAAGGGAGAGACATAGATAGAAACATCCATGAGAGAGAATCATTGGTCGGCTGCCTCCTGCATGCCCCCCTCCCCCCTCCCCACTGGGGATTGAGCCCAAAACTCAGGTATGTGCCCTGACCAGGAATCGAACCAGTGACCTCTTGGTTTATGGGTCAACCACTGAGTCACTCCAGCAGGGTCTAATGTTAATTTTCTATTTTCATCATTCATTTTACATTCTATATTAGAATTCTGGTCTCGGGACAATTTGTCCCTTCTCCCTCATTTTTAAATCGATTCAATAATGTCTTTAAATCAGTATGAACTGTGCTAATTTATCTTATTATTTGGGTTATAATCCAAGACTGTTGGTATTTATTTTCTTGTTCAAATTGTCCCAGCTGTGGCCAGTGGGAGTTCTTTTATGCTGGCTCCTATGTCCTTTGGCTTTTTTCTTTTTTAAAGCTCTTTCTGGCATTGGAAGATGCTCCAAGATCAGTTTGCAGATCTGGATGCTGAGTTTACTCATTGCTACTAGGATGTCACTGCTTTGGGGGCAGACAGAGCTAGGAAATATGTGTGTGTGTCAGAACCCATGCATGCACACATATCTGTATTTATTTTTGTGTCTATTAAAAATGAACATGTCATGCTGATAACCCCAGTCTAGCACCACATCGTTTATTTGTAATTTGGTTACCCAATAGCATGAAATCTGGCTGTCAGTGTCTACAGCATGTGGACTATTTGTTCAAGGCTCGCATAGAAGCAGACCCAGAACTGTTAACCCCTGAGAAACAAAGTTACTGACTGTCGTATAGTCCACTGTTTCTGTACGATGCAGAGGAAACCCCTAAGCTAAGCAAGCACACTTGTGGTTGTGAGCTGGAGTTGGCCCTCTGGCCTCCACTCTGAGACCCAATGCCTGCTCTGGTTGTCAGTTCACACCCTGGTGCAGCCATGCTCACCGGCCTAAGGACGGGTTGGTGGAGGGTGGAGAAGGCGGGTGGGGACCTCTGCTGCAGTCCCCTGATTCTCTCGATGGGTGGGGGTTGGAGAGGAGCAGGAGAGGCATTTGGCCCTTTCAGAGGTGCAGACACGGCTCAGTGAGAGTGGGTGAAGACTGGGTGAGGTGTCCTCTCCAGGCAAGAGCCCTGGCAGCAGAACCTGCCAGGTGAGTGTGCCGGCCCAGGCATGCATTAGGCAAATGGGTTGTGGCAGGATTTCAGAGGCCAGGGCTGCCTTTTCCTGAGAAGGGACCAGGCTGGGCTGGGGTGGGTGTGGTTTGGGTAGCTGGTGTTGCCTGGGGGAGTCCCCTCCTGATGCCTCTGTGAGGATACAGTGGTGAGCAATAGCACCGGAGCTAACGTTGGGCTCTTACTGCACATCTCAGTTCTGCTCCCGTCGTTGCTTTCGTCCTTAACAACATGCAGAGCAGGGGCTGTTATCATCTCCATTTTACAGATGAGTCCACCAAGGCTCAGAGGGGCATCAATTCAGCTGAGTCTGGCTCCAGACTCCCAGCCCTTAATATTTACATGAGAGCTGGGCAGAGAGACACACAGGGTCCCTGCCTCCCTGGAGCTGGGGATCTAGGGCACAGATGTACCAGAAGAAGAAACAAATAACCAATGTAGCCCTGGCCGGTTTGGCTCAGTGGATAAAGCGTTGGCCCGTGGACTGAAGGGTCCCGGGTTCGATTCCGGTCAAGGGCATAAGCCCAGGTTGTGGGCTTGATCCCCAATAGGGGGGCATTCAGGAGGCAGCCAATCAATGATTCTCTCATCATTGATGTTTCTCTCCCTCTCCCTTCCTCTCTGAAATCAATAAAAATATATATTTTTTAAAAAAACAACAAAAATGTAATTTCAGATGGTAGCTGTCATGTGAGATTGAGGAGGAGGGACCAGCCTGGAGGGGCTGGAAGAAGGGTGCTTCGGGCAGACTTCTTCCCAAGTGCCAAGGTCTTGGAGTATGTGAGGGACAGGGGGAGGCCAGTGGGACCGGGAGTAAGGGGGGGCGGGGAGAAGGAAGGAGGAGAGACTGTGCAGGGCCTTGTGGGTCCTGACTAGGGATGGGTGTTTACTTAAAGCACATGGGGAGGGGCGGGGGAGTCTGAAGCAGGGAAGGGGTGTGATCTGAGTTTTAAGAGCTGTTGGCTGCGGGCATGGAATGGGGTGTAGGGTTGGAAGCACAGATCCTCCAGGAGGCTCCTGACATCCGGCCCAGTCTTGGGAGCCCCATTCCCGAGGGCCCCAGAGCAAGCAGCGCCGGGAGGAGCCAGGAGTGGGAGGTGCTGGGCCCCTACCCACCGACCGACCGCAGCAGGAAGAGGCTCCCTCCACTTCTGAGGGAGCCATTGGAGGTGAGATCGCTGCCTGGGAGGTGTGAAGCAGCCACCCTCCCACCAGGCTGCAGCTTCCCCTTGCAGAGGGTCACTACGGAGCACCTGCTGCGCGCGGGCTGGTTCTGCTGCGCGCGGGGCTGGTTCTGCTGCGCGCGGGGCTGGTTCTGCTGCGCGCGGGGCTGGTTCTGCTGCGCGCCGGGCTGGTTCTGCTGCGCGCGGGGCTGGTTCTGCTGCGCGCGGGGCTGGTTCTGCTGCGCGCCGGGCTGGTTCTGCTGCGCGCGGGGCTGGTTCTGCTGCGCGCGGGGCTGGTTCTGCTGCGCGCCGGGCTGGTTCTGCTGCGCGCGGGGCTGGTTCTGCTGCGCGCGGGGCTGGTTCTGCTGCGCGCCGGGCTGGTTCTGCTGCGCGCGGGGCTGGTTCTGCTGCGCGCGGGGCTGGTTCTGCTGCGCGCCGGGCTGGTTCTGCTGCGCGCGGGGTCCTGGGGCCGCCAGGCCCAGCCCCCCTTCCGGGCTCTGGCCTCTGGTCTGAGGGTGAGGGAGCTGGGCCCG